TGCCTTTGGGATTTGGTTCTTGTTGTGATGGCTGCTCTACCAATATAGAAATGGCTTCTCTAAGGGTTACAGCTAAGGGCTGGTAAATGAAAGCAGTCACTGCTTGAGATAGTGTCAAAATGTTTGTAATGGAAAACACAGAAGTAATGCTAAGGGATGGTTTGAATTTGATTCAGTCTCATATTTTGGCCTCTTCATTTCAAATGTAGCTTCTAGGGGAGAAGGTGGATGTAGTGTTAGAAATCTCACTTATGCTTGCAGGCTTCGCTTGAAAGTTACCTATCAGAGTCCTGCCTTTATAATTTGATTCCCAATAGGAAATATAAGACATCATCTCAGATCTTTTGGAATTAATATTTCTTTTGAAGTCCAAGACACTGAGATATGGTTCAAAAGATATGTTATTTCAAAGTCTTTAGGACTTGCCTTATTTTTAGACTTACGATAAGTATACTTCATAAAATTTTACATTTACTCACCAGGTTTTCCCTTAGACTAGAAGCTTAAAGGGTTGTTGCTATAGCTGCTTGTGACTGTAACCATCAAGGACTATAGATGATGCTTTTTGTAGCCAGATAAAAACATTAAATTTTAAACTCATGTAAAATATGTAAATTATGTATATGCACATATATGTTCACATATATATATGTGTATGCGTGTATGTATGTTTACAAACTCCTATATATGCATATGTTTATTTATATATATGTGTATATATACTTGTATACACACAGTGCTTATATACTTTTACAGCTCTACTAATTCAGTTGAGGGAATCATGTTATATTTTGAAAAGCATTTGGGCCTGAATGTCCTATTTTAACTGTCAGCTACTTCTTTCCTGCATCCTTATAGCACCTTTCAATATTTGACTCTGAGGCCTTTCCTGACCAACCTATTTTTTTTCCAAACTCTACTAGAAAATAGGAATGAACAAAAATAATTTGCTTATTTGTACAGAACATTGAGGGAACAGAAGAGACAAATTGAACATAGTATTTCACTAAGTGAAATGAAAAGGAGAATGTTTGAAGCAATCACAATTATTATTTAAACAAATATTTTTTTTTTCTTACTGGTCATTCAGTCTTTTATCAGCTTTTCACATTAACTGAGTCAAAAAAAAGCAAACATATAATGATATTTCTTTGCGATGTGTATCATTTGTGTAACATCTTTATCTTCATAATAGAAGGATAATTAACATCACTAATTATCTAATTAAGTTCATTAAGCATCTACCAACAGTGCACCGTGAAGTTGACATTATGTTCTACTGTCAACAAATGCTTTGATTTCTTAGGAAGTAATTAAAATGTAAATTAGCATGCCATTAAATGCACAGGGGAAGTTTGGAATCAAATATTCATTTCAAAACTGCTCATAGAGTACATTTTTTTCCTACTGAATGAAAACAGGCACTCTGCTATTAATGATGTATATTAAACAATTTCCATTATAATATTATTGTCTTGTTTAATAACTGATTCAAGGCTAAATTAGTGTGCTGCAGCAAACTGGAAAAGTTTCTTTAACTTGGAACAAAGAAATTTTTATGTCCTTATAACCAGGTATTTGAGTCATTCATTTGTAATTTTTCAGATTACTTATAATATCATAAGGAAATAATTCAATAGCTCTGCACTCTGTGGTTTTATGTAGTTTTTATTTTTTATCTACTCTATTAATTTATCTAATTTATAGAGTTTGAATAATCAAATGATCTGAATGCATGGGAATAATTCATACTTTGATTGAAGTTAACCATTTTACAGAGAAATAAGAATATTTTTTTAAATGATGAAAACAAATTGTTTGGCTGAACTGGATTTGCAAGCAAGCCACCCCACAATCTGCACCCTGCAAAATCCAAAGATAGTTTCTGCAGAAGGGGGATGTGACCATGTGATGCAGAGAAGAATATCTGTCTTAGCAAAGTTGTTCTCTTCTTTAGTAATATGAGTTGCAGATCATCTTAAGACCTGAAGTACAAGGTGTAATATCTCTTCCAAAGTTTTCTATGGAAGAATGTTTTGAGATAGAGATTCTTGAGTATTTTTTAAACTTGGTGGCATTCTGTGGCAGCCAAGTCCTTCCATTTAATTCCACATCGTGTGGAAAAGATGTTTTCTTTTTATCCATTTCCTGTATCCATTTTCATTTTTGTGTTTCTGCCTTTTAAGCTAGAGATTGTCTTGTTCAATTTTAAGCTCTCATATAGGATTTCAGGCAGTGGAGTTTTCAATGCCAACAGCTTTAAACAGTAATCTCATCTTTCAAGAGAGACTGGTTGCAGAGTTTTATTTTTACATATCAGAGATCATGCCAAATGAGCTGAATGGTGTTTATTTGGATCAGGAGAAACTCTAGAAGCAATTGCTAGCAACTGAAACAGAATTACTTTTCTTTCTGCAATATATATAGAAAGAAAAATAACTTTCCTGATTTTTTTGGCTCAGGTACCTCCATTTTCAGTGGGAATTTTGACACAATATTTCCTTTACAATAAAAAGAAAATCCACTTAAATGAAACTGCTTTGTGTGGATTTTTTGATTCAAAAATCTTAAATGGGATTTCAGGTCAAGTCTAATTTTTGTTTTGTTTTCAAATGTTGAGCCAAAGAAACATTTCATTCTGTATTTTCCCTATGAAAATCTTTATTCTTTATTTTTTAATATCTAGATTCTATTTTTCAAAACAAAAGGATGCAAATTCTTTCAAATTATTTTTAGTAGTTTTTTTTGAAGAAGAAGAAGAGTTATGGCCAACTTATGAATAGGTTAACAGTGTATATATGGTGTCTTTTTTCATACAGGGAGCAGTATAGAATGCTTATGGGAATTCAGGTGTCAGCTGGTAAGTTGGCCATGTGAAATGGTCAACTGAAATGAAATATTGTGACAGGGGGCTGAAAATAGCTGGAATTGTGAATGAGATGGCAGCATATCTAAATAAAGAACAGGAAATCGGGAGAGAAATCCCTGCCAAAAGATTTTAAAGATTTCTCTTAGATGAGAGCAAAGCCTGTGCCAAAGTCTTGTGAATTGTTCATTCATTATTGTTCTGATCTTGGCTAGCCAAATTAACGATAGCTGCTTGTGCTTGTCTGCTCTATTCCTATTGTCTGTTGCAGAATACCTATAGTCTTAATCTGTACACACAGAATTACTTTACAGGCATTAAAAAGCTTTGAAGGTAATGATATCACATTTAAATGTATAGCATTTTAGTGAAATAGTCATAATTCGGGAAGGTGAGAGAAATGTCTTTATATTTTGGACTCTGAGCTCTAAGAATACTTTAATGTTTAGTGTATGAATTAGGACTGTACATTGTCCTTGGAAGTCATAATTTAATATAGTCAGAAAACTCCAGTGAGGCTTTCAGATAAATGAATTGAGATGTCACATAATAAATCCCAAGTTACATACAGCTGTAGAATGATTTCGTAGGAGATAATCTTTTTCAGTAGAAATAGGGAAGTGGTGAGTAAGATCAAGTGCAGGAAAGCAGGAGCTCCCATAGCTAGCCCTAGAAGTGCCAAAGTTCACCCTTCACTACCATCCTGTAAGAGCAAATATCTTTGCTGTTCAAGGGGGTCAAGCAAGGCCTCAAGGGGTTGAGTGTTGAGAAGTTGCTATCCCCAAGTCACAAAAGTTGTTCCTCAAGGACAGGATTGAAGATGTCTCACTTCCTGGTGTGTTGCTTTTGCCTGTAGGAGTTGACTGATTCAGAGTTTGTAGTAATGCTGGCTGATTCAGAGTATCTGTAGTAATGTAGGCTTCGGTAGGAGTATGCATGTGTGTATACAGCTGCTATAGAGGTAGGACTGCTTCTGTGCTGCCTGAGTTTAGCTGATAAATATGGTGTGCAGGTCTTACCATGTGTACACCATACTTTGGATTTATCTTCTTGCGAGCCACCCCTGTGTGCGGGTGCATTTATGGTGCACTGAAATATGGAGCTTTTTCTCATCGTGTTTGCTATTCCCCTGCCAACTGGCAATGCCAGGAATCCATCCATGATCCTTAGGAACAGTTGGCACTGTGCATTAGCCTCCTAGCGGGTTGAGGCACAAAGCTTACATGCAACACTTAACTGCTGGAACTACAGTCTGTTGAAAAGCTAAATGAATTTTGGCAAAGTAACAATAAAATCC